CACAAAAGGATTGCCCTCATTGGGGAATGAAATACTTTACCTTCTTGGACCTTCATTCGGGCTAAAAAATGGCAGCTAAGGGTACACTCACACCAGCACTTTTGTTTTTTTTGGGACCGAATTTGGCCGTAATTATGGTCAAATACGCCCAAGAAGGACCGGTTGTAACTCTCCCCTTGGGAGGATAAGCCAGTTGATCTTAGTTCCATCCATCATTTCGTTGGCATGAATGGATAATAGGATATCCTTGTTTTAAAAAAAAAAAAAAAAACTTGTTCTGGTCTTTGCTTGATGCAGAAGGCTGAGCAGTGGACAGTTGGAATTGATCTATTTTTAGAAACCACAATCTGCCAGGAAAAAAAGGGTTCAAGAAAAAGAAGAAACCACAGTATGCCAGTCGAATGTCTTCACGATGGCTGCAATCCACAACCGTGTCCTGAACTTGTCCTGTCTTCACCCGAATAGAACGCCTCGGTCTTTATCGCTGCTGTATGTGGACTGAAAGTTGCCACAAATGCACGGCTATAATAACCAGGCGTTCTATTTGTGTGAAGGCGGTTAAGTTAAACCACCAGTACATCCGGAAAAAGCAGATTGAGCCTCTCCTAAAAAATAGGAGGCCATGAACCGCCGCAGATTCATTTTATCCATTTTGTCGATGGTCCATGGCCTCTGATTTTTATTTTTATTTTTTATTTTGTTTTTTTCAACTTTTTTGCCTCCGATTTTTTAGGAGAGGCTCAATCTGCTTTTCCGGATGTACTGGTGGCTTAATGAAGAAAAGAGCCTGAGCAGCGCGTGTGCTTCTTTTTGAAATCGGTCTGTCCGTGGGAACCTCAATCCTGTCTTCACCGGAATAGAACGCCCTGGTCATTATCGCTGTATGTGGACTGGAAGTTGCCACAAATGCACAGCTATAATAACCAGCTGTTCTTTCTTTCTTTCTATTTTTTCTTTATAATGGGCGATGGGCTGGATATATCATTATTGAACCGACCGGCCCTAGGTAATTCAGAATTGCTAGTATTTTTTTCATCTCCATCCCCACCGGTGTTCGAACTCAACACCTGGTCTGTATTTCAACAGTTCAGTTCAGGGGGGGTGTACCAACTGAGCTAGGCCAGTTAATAACCAGGCGTCATTCAACTGAGCTAGGCCAGTTAATAACCAGGCATCATTCTTTATTTATCCGAAGACGACGGTTGGGGGTTAATGTCAAAAAGGGATTGATCAGCGAGATGGTTGTTTAATGAAAAAAAAAAAGGGATTGATCAGCGAGTGTGCTGTTTTTGTGGAACTCGGTGTCTGTCTGTGGAAACCACAGGATATTATTCGAATGATAATTCAGTATCTCCACGATGAAGGGTACACGACATCGGTGATGACAATCCAAGATGAAGCGAATGTGAAGGTGAATGAACAAGGGCGCATGCGCCATCAGTTCAAGCGGTTGAAGAAAGCCGTTTTAGGTAAGTCAAGGCTCAGTAACTCTCCCGCCGGTTGGAAGAAAAATGCAAAGGAGAGGGAAAAAGACGACGAAAAAAAACAAAAGTCTCCCGTCGATTGGCTAGCTAGGGATAGGAGCGGGAAGAGGGAGGAGGAGGTATGTGGGGGAAATTCAGCCCGTCGAGCTGCTGCACGTCTCTAGCAGCAAAAGACCCGCTGGCCTGTGCCCGTAAGCTAAGCCTGTGCCTCTAGCAGAAAATACGTGCAGGCTTGTGCCTCTACTAGCGGAAAAGACCTGCAGGCCTGTACTGGATGATGCTTCCAATAACGTTTTCCGGGTATATTGTGGGGACCCGCGCCTCCAATACCGTTTTCCGGGTATATTGTGGGGAAGGGGAAGGGGGGGGGGG